GGGAAATCAGCCCCTAGGTCATGGGAATTCCTGGGACCCAGGGGTTGAGGTGGCACCATGTGCTGTCACCCCACTGCTCAGGAAGCACGGGTGGGGTGAAAGGGACCTGGGGCAGCTTCACAACCTAAAGGATGCAGCATTCTTAATTATCCTGGAACATAAAGGAGGGGCAGGGCTTCCCTAAAGATTTCTTCAAACACACCAGACTGCCCCTCAGCAGGGTATGAGTAACTTTAAACACAKTCCTGCATGCTTTGGGGGGTGGTGGCACTGCCACACTGGCCTGGGTCACAGCTCTGTCACATCTGAGCACGAGGGGTTTAGATGCCCACATTTTTGGCTTTTACAGAAGGAAGGAGTAACATAAAAGAGCAGGACACGGAGGRGAACAGCTTGGAGTCAGGCCTAGATTGCAGGAGAGATCCTGGCTGCAGCATCAGCTCCCAGGGAGAGGTCCAGGAAACAGTGTCTGACAGCTCCAGCAGCACAGAACTGAAGGGCAGCTTTCTTTGGGAAGCCTTTCAAGTGCAAGGAGCAGTATTCAGCTGTCACATCCCCATTTACTGGTTTCTCCATCCACCTGAGCTGACCATTCAGAACCTTCAGAGGCTTTGAGGTGACGTGGGTACCTCTGGGTCCTGAGTCAGAGGTTGGTATCAGAGGTCGGTACCAGGGCTGAACTGCACCAGAGGCCCTTGGTCCATCCCTGGAGCCCAGAGGTCCTGAACCCCCTGAACCCCCCAGAGCATCTCCATCCCATCCCTGGTGAGTTGCTGGTGGGATGTTTTTTAGTTCTCAGGGTGTCCCATYTCCTGCCTGTGGAGTTGGGGAAGTGATGAGACCTGGCCCACCCCATCAATCCCACCAGCCTAGGGGGAGGTGAGGAACCAAGCCCTCAGAAGTAGCTGTCACCTTCTGACAGAGCCCTGGGGTGAGCAGGGACCTGGAAGGGTGGAGCTGCTGCCAAAGCAGGGGCTGATAAATCTCAAACCKCACTCACACATCAAACCTCAGATGAAAACCCAGGGAGAGAGTGGAGTGGTCCATTGCAGTCAATATTCGCATCCTTTGATGCTGTTTTGGGTGCAGTGTCAGTCTCAGGGGTGTCCTTTGTGCCCCAGGAGCAGGACAGCCTGTGTCACTTCTGTGGGTGCCTCTTTTCCTTCCCTCACCTGCTCTCCCCACCCTGGTCTTTYTCCACCTCACCCTGTGCCAGGGGCACTGCAGGGAGCCTGGATTTGGTGGGATTTGGGGTCCTTTTGGGTATCCAGCCSGGGCCCTGGCGCAGGAGGAGAGACCATCAGGGGAGCTGGACGTAGACACCACACCATGGCTGGGACCTGCTCCCAGTCTGTCCTGGCTCCCAGAGCTGCACCAGGAAGGGCCAGCAGCTCCTCCCTGACCTGTGCCCAGGGGTGGCTGCTCAGGGGCAGAGAGAGGGGGAAGCACAGGGGCCCTTCTCCACCTCCTCCCAGGCTTTTCCCTGAGGATCCCGGAGGCTCACGCCAGCCTGGGCACAGCAGGCACTGCCGAGAAGGAGCAGGAGGAGCAGGAACCTGAGTAGGAGCAGAAGCAGGAGGAGCAGGAGGAGGAATCGGGGTAGGAACAAGAGCACAAACAGGAGTAGGAGCCGGAGCAGGGGCAGGAGCAGAAACGAGCACGAGTAGGAGCAGGAACAAGAAAAGGAGGAGGAGCAGAAACAGGAGTAGGAAAAGGAACAGGGGCAGCAGCAGGAGCAGGATCGGTGGCAGGAGCAGGGRCAGCAGSAGCAGGAMKCAYCTCCGGGCCGGCTCCTGCCCAGTCCCCCGGGGTGTGATGAGTTCTCCAGGCCTCAGCACCACTCCCAGTGTCTCTGCCCGCCCCTCCCGGCCACCAGCCCGCTGCTCCTCGCGCAGCGCTGCCCCATCCTTCGCTCGGCTCCCCGCTGGCATCCCCCCTTACCTGGCGGCCGCGGGGGCCGGCGGGGTCCCCGGGCGGCCCCGCTCCGGCTCCCCAGCGCAGCGCTTTGCGTTTGTGCCTGGGAAATACCCACCCGGCGTTTTATGAGTGCGGCTGATAAATATTGCATCGCCCGTGAACTTGGCGGAGCGGGGGCACAGCGGCACCGGCACCGGCACCGGGCACGGGCCGGGGAGGGGCGCGGGGAGCCGGGGCGGGGGGAGCGGCCGGCAGCGGCTCCGGCTGCGTGGGGGAGCCGCCGAAAGGGGGGGCCGGGGCCCCGCTAATGCTGCGCGGAGCCGGTTCGGGGCCCCCCCGGGCAGCACTCAGCATCCAGCCTCATTAAACTTTCATCGGCAGCGCTCGGTCAAGGTCTATTTATGAAAATGCGCTTTTCGCTGCATGGAGAAAACAGGGACGGAGCGCAAGAACAAAGGGATGGGATTGGGAAGCGCCCGGGAATAAAGAGAGATGTGCGGGACGGGGTGCGGGACGGGGTACGGGTGTTCCACGGTGCCGGCAGAGCGGAGTAGGCTCTGTCGGCCACCGCCGCGCTGGCACCGCTCGCCCAGGTGGAGCAGCTCCTCCGACAGCTATTTCGGGCGCCGCACAATTTTTCCTCTTTTCTTTTTTTTTTTTTTTTTTGTTTGTTTTTTTTTTTTTTTTTTTTTTTTTTTTGTTTGCGGAGTTTTAGGGCTTTGTTTGTTTGGTTTGTTTCAGGTGTTTTGTTTGCTTGTTTGTTTTTGTTGTATTTAATTTATTTTCTTTTCCTTTGATGAGTTTATCATATTTCGTTTTACTTCATTTTATTTTATTTCGCTTTATTATATCGTATTTTATTTCACTTTATGTTATTTCATTTTATTTTACTTTAGTTTTTTTAAATTTTATTTGWTTTTCCCCTGCAAAAGCCGCAGGGTCCGACTGTCGGGCTGCAGCACCGTGGCGTGCGTTTGGTATCTTTTTTCCCAGAATAAGTTATAAAATAAAACAAGGCAAAACAAAACAACAACAACAACAAAAAAAAAATACAAACGAAACCCCAAACAAACAAAAAAAATCCAAACAAAAATAAAATAAAGGAAACCCCAAACAAATAAAACCAACAGAAATTGCTTCTTTTTACCCCTTTTTTCAGCGCCTCCCTGGGACCGAGCGGACCCCCAGGTTCTGATCCCCCAGGACAGAGGGGACCCCCCGGCTTCACCCTCCTGGTTCGGCCCCCCCGTTGCACCCCCGAGCGATTGAAGCGCGYTCGGGGAGGGTTCGGTGCCATCGGCTGCGGGTGAGCGGAGCCGGAAGAGGGGAAATGTCCCCTTTAGGAGCCGCTGACCCCGCAGATCGGACAGGTGGGGGTGACAGGGGGTATCTGGGGGTGTCCCCTCTCGGGGGTCGCGGGGTGGGGGTTGAGGGTCGCAGCCCGTCCCTGCAGCCGTTTGCGGGAGCGCCCCGGCGCTGCGGGCTGCGCTCCCCGGCCCCGCCAACGACCCCCGGCCGCGGCAGCGACCCCCGGGCTGCGGGGCGAGACCCCCGCGACCCCTGCACRGGGCTTCAGGGCACCGGGGGAGGCGGGGAAGGGGCAAAAAATAAAACCCGCGATGAGCCGGAGAGGGACCGGGACCCGCCGCTCCCGCTCCCCTCGGGGCCGCCCCCGCTCCGTCCCGCGTGGGCACGGGCAGCTCTGCCCGCCCGCCGCTGCCTTCTCCGGGCGCTTCGCGTTTGTCCCCAAGGAGGAGAACGGGCCAGCCTCCATCCCACGGAGGCACCGGTGATGGGCTGGGGGAGTCCCGGGAAAGGGGTCCTCGGGCAGGGGGTGCTCCCCGGAGCCGCAGTAACTGCAGGAGGCAGGAGGGTGAGGTAAAACGTGCATGATTTATTTGAAATGCTGCAGCGTACACAGACACCAAAATTTCATTCAGCACACACACAGCGGAACGAAATCTCCTTTAATTCAAAAAATAAAAAGAAAATAAAAGAAAARGAGGCAAATTTCTCTATTAAATATGCAAAGGAAAGGGGGGAAAATAAGAGTTTTCTTGCCTTCGAAAGTGCAGAGTTCCCTATGCGCAGAGGCAGCCGCCCCGAGGCCGGGCCGGGCTCCGTCCCCGCTGCCTCGGGCCGCTCCCGCCGCTCCGCTGAGCCCCAAGGACGTGATTGTCGAAGCGTAGGATTTTATACAGTGAAACCATACGGAAATCGAACGGTTTGAGTGAAACAAACGCAAAATAAATCTCCATTTCCCCGAACAAACCGCGACTCCAGGGACGGGCCAATTTTTTTTTTTTTTTAATCTTTTCTCCTTTTTTTTTATCCTTTTTAATTTTTCTTGTCAGTTTAGCCGATGAGGTAGAAACAGAAATGGTACTGCAAAAACGCGATGGGTTTGCGGGGGGCAGGGGAGAGAACAAAACCATGCAGGTGCGTGTGTGTGCGTGGGTGTATGGGGACCCTGGCAGTGGGGAGCACCCCGGGATTAC